TAAGGTCCGGTTTGTTCGTGCTCGAACAAGAACGCGGAAAGATGTTTTAGTGCCAACGAGGTGACCACTGTCTAATAGGCGTTTTGTAATAGATGGCCGTGGTACTTTGTTCTCCTGTTTTAAAAGCCAAGCGGGCAAATGTTCAGCAGCCCTGGTCGCCAATTGCCTTTACGTACGGCCAATGTACTTGCATCCGCAAGTGCAGGTGAATGCATTAATGCAGTTTGAGGTGGCGTGCAAAGGCAAGGCTTCCTTTGGCCGGTTAATTAGGAGGCTTTATTTGGAGTGAGGAAAACAAGTTCGGCTGCATCCTACATACGGCGGCACAAAACCGACCTATGTAAGCAACTAGACCATGTAGTTAATCTTCAATTGCCCTGGTAAATACATACCACACTTTTATTTTATTAATTCCCCTCCCTACTTTTCGTTCCAAGCTTAAAGTTGAAATAACTATGGACCATTTGCCGCGTTGACACAACCTTGCTTCTATCGATTTTGTGTAAATTCAAAATGATGTGTTTTCTAAATGTTTCGTTATTCATGCACAGAACGGACGCAGTTGATAAGCGCTCTTAAAAATTTATTTGTGCAAATAAATTCTGCTATTTTGGCTTGCTTCAAGTTAAGATTATGGTTCAGGTTTCGATTATGAATACTGTTAAGATTATACCACGGAAATATTTGTTATTCCTGTAATTGATCGCTTGATCACCCGTAGAGCAAGAGGAGTGGGTGTGCTTTCCAATTTCCGTGTCTCGGCTCTAGATATTTCTGGATAATTTATTCCTTATCCAAATGTTGCGACGTCTGCGAAGTGTGCAATGCCTTCCCCCTCTATTAGTTTTCTATTCCATTCCATAGTACTTACGAATTAGCAGAAGGAGGGGAGAATCATTCATATTTGGATGTTTCGTGAGTCAGCCTCCTTAAGAGTCAGATAAGAAAGACATGTGGTACAGAGTATTTTGCCATTAATCTAACCGTTGATCCTATTGACAGTAGTTGCGTTTAAAGTCGGTATAAGCACCAAAAGGCAAAGAGCAAATAAGACTAGTTACTTTTAAGGAAAGGTGTTGGTGGACCACCGAGTGACAGTTCAGGAAACTACATAAAATAACGTTCAGAGCATCCTTGCTTGTGTCCAACAATTTTTTTCAAAATTGACATGAACAATCACAAAGACTGTCGGCGCAGGGAAGACAGCACGCCGTAAGGTAACAATGTCTAACTGGGACGGCACAAACATTCGTCACTGAGGGGTCATTGCACCATATTGTCCATCGAAGTTGACTTGATGGTGGATAACTTGAAGTCCCCACCAGAATCGATTAAATTTTTTGATCTACAGTCTGGTTCTAACCTCAGGTCGTAGAGGTATCGAACTTCTAAACAAAGCTTTCGGCTACCCACCATCAATCCTACCCAACCCCATTGAAGCTGGTCGACGAAATTCTTTCAAAAATAATTGACTTGTCTACTCCATAGTGTTTACTCATAATGTGTAAGTACTTGCAAATGGACGTATAGAAGAAGTAGAGGTGGGAGAAGCATTGTAAATATTGCAGGCTTTGAAACACCTACACAAGAAATAGTCTCTCATTGCATATCAGGCTGGACATGAATGATGTCTGTGCATGGCCATCTGCGCCCCTAAACTAATCGCCGAAGCGGAAGTAGAGTTCCAGTCCTCTGGGAGGAGGGTAATGCTTCTGGAAGCGGGTTTTGTTTTAGCCGACGTTTTGGAGGCACCTAAAAAGCGGTGCAACTGACGCTTGAGGCAGGTTACTCAGATGCCAAGTTCTTTAACAGACATCTAGACCTTCCCGCGGCCTACAATGTCCTGCGCCATTACGTGAATAAAGGCGAAGACAAGAACTTCGAGCTAAGACGGCCCCATGACGGTCCCACCGGAAGAGGAAACGGGATTACTAGCAGCCTCTACTGTGGGGACAGAGCAGAACACCAATGACCGTCAAACTACGCCAACATCCATACGAGGGGCAAGACAGCGAACGAATCAGAAA